TGTTGGGGACGGCGGTTGTTGACGACGGCAAAACTCCGGCAATTCGAGCGATTCCAGATAAGTACCTGAAATTAAAAGATTATTTTGTCGAGGCCTGTGAAACACAGTTTCCTTAAGTTCGATTTCCGTGCCACCTCTAAAGCTTCGAGGCTATTGGAGCACGGTGAACTCCCAGGATACAACGACCGCGTATTTGGAAGAAGCTTTCCAAATACCAAGCGAACTCAGAGAGAGATATGAGCAAATATGTGAATGCTCTTTTTCTCTAGAATACTTGTTTCTTTTCTGTGTGTTTCTTATGAGCTAACCCAAGACCCCTATTTATAGTAGAGGGGAGAATCTCAAAACAAATCAATTTGAATTTCAAAATTCAAATTTGATTTTATTTTGATATTATCTCAATCATATTTGATAGATTTTCTGCGGATTTGAATCCAATTTGAATTTGAATTTCAAATTCAAATAAGAATATTCTCTTAATATTCTGCAGATTTAAATTTATACGGACCGGGCTTCTCACGGGCTAGGCCCGTTTTGATTCTATCAAATAAACCCAAATCCAATGTTTTCTCCATATCTATTTCGCATTTTGTTTGTAATAACCTGTTCATCTTCCTTAGAAAACATACCATTACTTCCATTCCCTCTGAAATCATACTTCCTCTCTGAGTCTTTGCTTGTCTCATCTTCACCATCTGTCTGACCTTGAATGTCTGATTCTTCTACCGCTTTGATCATCTTCTGAAGCAATAATTTGGTCAGTAGAAAATGGCCTGATAATTTTTGTTTAATCATTAGTGGTATGATTAGCAAAATAATTACTCGATTACAGGAATTTGTAATTAAGATAAAAAAAAATCACCTGCGTTGTTTCTGATTTAATGTATTTTAAAAAATAACATAAAGATAACATTAAACAAATTTGAAACTAAAAAATAAATGAGATTATATTTCAGTTACTGTGTAGCAAAATAGGGGACGTGCACGTATATATGCATACTTATACGAATTCCAATGAGACAAACAAAAAAGAGATTAAGTTTTGAATTTACCTTACGTTTCTCTGCATCGAAACATTAGATATGTACGTTAATTTATTGAACGTATATATATTATCAGTTCGGAAAAAAAGAATACAAGAAAACCCAAGTTTTGGATTTTTCTTCTCTTTCATGGAAGCGAAAGATCAATATAGACAGCATACAAATTCATAAATTTTCTGGAAAAATAAAAAAGATGGAAACAGATTTATACATAAATACGTGATGCAATAAAATTCGCAGAGATGATGAAAAGTGTTTTTACATGAGAAGATGTAGAGGGAGACTCGAACTCGGCGGCAAAGGTTTGTAAGGAGAGAGAGAGAGTTGATGATCTCCGCCGCAGGCATCCTAGCGACGATCTCCGCCTTCGCTTCCTTGGCTATCTTTTTTTTTGTGATAATCCGGAAATTCATCGGACCTTTGGTCTGACTACATCTCCCAGAGGAACGGGGAAGTCCAGGTGAATGTCTTTCCCCACGCTTGGGTTTGAACTCGGGGTGAGAGTATGCTTTGCATGTTTTTTCACCACTAGACCACTCAAACTTGGGTTCCTTGACTATCTCTTGCCGAAACAAAATATAACATTAAACTACATTTATACAAAGTTAAAGTTAGTTGAATCTAATTATTATATACCTAAATTTATAAATATCTTGAATGTATCGTCAATAAAATTTAGTTATTCATTCGTCTTCTTCAGTCTGCTTTCTCGATTTCTCGAAACTATATTCACCTCTTACGTACATGTATTTAGTTATTCAAAATATCTTGTCGTGTGGGAAGAATTTTACGTACATGTATTTAGTTATTCAAAATATCTTGTCAAGTGGGAAGAATTTGTAAACAATATAGACACGTGTCATATTTCTAGGATAGGAATAATTCAATGTTTTTTTTAGATTATCCTTGATTTTAATGTTTTGTATGACTCCATTTATTTTTTCCAAATATATGAATAATCATTCATGTGGATTAATTTACGGTGTTTTTAGATTAATAACGTATGTATAGTCCCATCATTAATTAATAAGTGAAAAATTAGTTATGAAATCTTTGAAAACATATGTTATACCCTGGTTAATAGAAATGTACTTTTATATATAAGAAGATATGGAAATTGTGGAAAGTTTTTTTAAAGATGTTTTTCTTTAAAAACAATTCTTATATTTTGTCAAAAACCCAAATTTTAATGAATATTAACAAAAAAAGTAAAAGAAAAAATCAAGTAAATCATAAAGGAAAAATTCTTAAAAATTTTCAAATTTGCAATTCGGTGGAAAACTAATTCCTTAATTTACACATATTTTTATTTATTCTCGAATTTAAAAAATTGAACACAATAATTTCTAAACTTGCTTAAAAGTGTCATAATCGTCCTAACAATAATTTTGACCAAAAATAATGTTTTGAACAATCTTACGTGATGCGTGAATTGTTAACATATATAAGATTTTTATATCATGTATGCAGAATTGGATTTAATAGATATGGTTTAACAAAACCGGTTTGTAATAGTAAAAATTATGGTTCACCTGAAGATTTGGGATGACGATGTAGATCAAAATAATTACCATCACTACCGATTCTCGAGTTCTAGATCCAGATCGACGGTGTCTCCATCGAAACAGAAATATTGCTTCGAAGTAATCATCATCGAGATTAGATCTCCTTTATCCCATATTTTCCGATGAGAATGGTATCGTTTATTATTATGAACCGGTTTTATCAAACCGTGTCTATTACATTCAGTTCTATATAAATGACATAAAAAATTGATGTGTCTTGATAATTCATACGCCACTTAGGATTGTTGATATTGATTATATTTTTCCTTTTGGGGGGTTCGGTCTCGGTCCAAATAAAAAAGATAAAACCATTTAGAATTCCTAATCAAGCCTTTGTTTCATAAATATTTCTTTCCATGAGAGCTCGTGGAAGGTTCTTCTTGGGAACTAGACAAGACAAATCACGCACGACACGAGTCTCACGACTCACGAGGCTCGCCACCAGTTACCCAATCAATCCACGTGTTCGAAAAGACGAAAACACCCCTTATTACCCGTATATTAACACAACAGCCATTATTATGTTATTCCCATAAAAAAAAAAATAGCATCCAAGATTTCGACGCGCTCAGAAAAATTTTCTGGATTGAATCGGCCGAGAAAATGAGTTGGTGGTGGGCTGGTGCGATTGGAGCTGCCAAGGCAAGTTAACCTACATGATCCCGTTTTCATCTTCTCCGATCGATTTCATCGACAAACTCTCTCTGATTTTTGACTTTTCTGCTTGATTTGAATCGGATTCGGATTTTTTTTTTTTTTTGCAGAAGAAACTCGAGGAAGATGAGCCTCCTCCGAGAAGCTACCAGAGCGTGGGGCTCATCATCGGGGTCACCGGGATCGTTGGGAACAGCCTCGCCGAGATTCTCCCGCTCTCCGATACTCCCGGTGGTCCATGGAAGGTCTACGGCGTTGCTCGCCGTCCCCAACCGAGCTGGAACGCCGATCATCCGATCGATTACATACAGTGCGATGTCTCCGACACCGACGATGTCCGGTGCAAGCTCTCTCCCCTCACCGACGTCACCCACATATTCTTCGTCGCCTGGACAAATCGCGGATCCGAACCGGAGAACTGCGAAACCAACGCCGGGATGCTCCGGAACGTACTCCGGGCGATTGTGCCACACGCGCCGAATCTCCGGCACGTTTGTCTGCAGACTGGTGCGAAGCATTACATCGGACCCTTCGCCAACCGCGGAGGGTCTTACCACGATCCGCCATTCACGGAGGATCTACCAAGGTTACCGATTCAGAACTTCTATTACACCCTGGAGGATGTCCTGTTCGAGGAGGTAGAGAAGAAAGAAGGCTTGACCTGGTCTGTACACCGACCGAACACGATCTTTGGGTTCTCGCCTTACAGTCAGATGAATATGGTGGGTACTCTTTGTGTATACGCAGCAATCTGCAAGCACGAGGGATCTCCATTGCTATTCCCCGGAAGCAAGACTGCGTGGGAAGGATTCGCGGTTTCTTCGGATGCGGATTTGATAGCCGAGCAGCAGATTTGGGCAGCGGTTGATCCGTATGCAGGTAACGAGGCATTTAATTGCAGCAATGGAGATGTTTTCAAGTGGAAACATATGTGGAAGGTTCTTGCTGAGCAATTCGGGATTGAAGAGTTCGGGTTCGAGGAAGGGAAGAATGTGGGATTGGGGAAGATGATGGAAGGGAAAG